CCACACCTCTTAAGGTTGCCAAGTTTGAAAAACACTGTGATAGACTCTCTTCCTATCTCCTCCTACGCATATTCACAATGCTTCATGACTGCCTTTCATACAGCTTGCTTCAGGAGCATCCACAGCTTTATGAAAATGGCCCATCAGGTGTTGTGATCTCACACAGCAATCTCTCGCACACGCACATGTGGTGTTGCAGGACAGGTGCAAAAGCGGTGGAGTTGAGGCCGCAACATCATGGCACCTGTTTTGCTATTTGCCTCCTTCTTCCCCCATCCGCCCATTGGTCGGTCGGTCGGTCGGTCGGTCGGTCGGTCTGTCTGTCTGTCTGTCTGTCTGTCTGTCTGTCTGTCTGTCTATCTATCTATCTATCTATCTATCTATCTATCTATTTTCTTTTGTTTACTACTGTTTAGAGCATGTCCTGCTCCCAAGACTCTGGGTAGCTTTGACAAAAAGCATACGTGCTCAGAAAACATCACAAAACTCTTAATAAAAGCATTAAGCCATCATTAAAACACTTCAGGGAGCGACCAAACCAAGCTGCCGTTCTACATTCCAAATGTCCTGAAGAAAGCCAGATTTTTGTGGCCTTCTGAAATAAAAGGAAGAGGTTCCATGAATTTCAGGGTGGGGACAATATGTTCTACAAGGCTGGGGCAACCACAGTAAAGGCCCATCCTACCGTAATCTTTTACTGATAGAGAGCCCAGAACATCCCTCCCGATGGCAGAGACTGTGGGGAGGCTGGGGAAGTTCCAGGAGGAACATCAGACATAAACCAGCAACTGATGGAAGAGGAGTTTGTTAGGAGTTGCAAACAGCAGCTCAGTTCAGGTTGCCTAAAACCCAGTGAATGGTCAGAGACTCCCCCTTAATGAAGGGAGGTGGGAAATTCCTATCAGAGTTTCCAAAATCCTGTACTTGACTCCTAATCCTTGCACTCAACCATGTTAATGAAGTCTATGTAATTCTTGCTTTTTGAGAGCACCCTGCTGGGAGAAGCTTGGTACCTGGATATTTTGGGCAGATTCTCTACAGAGAAGACCATCTCTCAGATACCCACAGCAAAAGCCACTTAACGCTTCTAGGTAATAACCAGCACCTTAAATTGTACTGGCAGACAACATAGCACCCACAATATAGGTGTTGCTCTGCTAAAGTGGTGGTCATCCACTAACATGCTGGTCACTTTTCTTATTTCTTTTCTTTTCTTTTCTTTTCTTTTCTTTTCTTTTCTTTTCTTTTCTTTTCTTTTCTTTTCTTTTCTGCACCAGCTGAAATTTCAGAGTAGTCTTCAGGGGCAGCCTTACATAGAGCTCTTTGCAGGAATAAAGTCAAGAAGGAATGAGGCCATGAGTGACAGTTACTAAAGCCTCCCACCCCATATATTGAGTTAAATTGCAACCCATTTGCACAATCAGATTCCCTGGGTTCACTGAAGCAAGCCAAAGTTAGCATTAACCATCTTAGCATGTTGGGCAAATGCTATTAGATCTTTCTCCGTCCAGGTTAAACAAGATGTGAGCACAGCCAATGAAATACACATACAGATTGTGTGTGAGGCTTGACAGAACAATAGTCCAGTTTGGATCTTTCTCATCCAACCCTCTATTTATGCTTGAACACCAGCAGCTACCAAAGGTTCATGAGATGGTTTACAAAGCGAGTGTATTTAATTCAGTCTTGATTGTTGTACAGTTTGATCTCCTCTTAAGATCCTTGGAATGGGTCCAATATCTGAAGTTTCATCAGATGTGAAGAATTAGGGAAGAGAAAGAAGAGTCCACTTTGCAACCCTTGATTCTTTCCATGGGAGCAATATTTTTCATTTTCTCCAAGGCTTTTCTACTGCAACCCAACCATAGTATCTTTTCCTTGCCACTTTCTCAGCCTTGTACCAGCAAGTCGGAGAGGATGCCTGTTCTGCTCCACCCTTCACCTTATTCTAGGAAGGTTAAAGAACCATCCTTTCCCAGAGACTCATTTCTCCCAACACAGGTCACATGGGGTCTCCAATGAGCAAAGAAGTAATGAGACACACAGGCAGCCATCTACTGAAAATTTTAATGAAACAAATAAGTTAATAAGTTAATAAAGTGAGGTAACTATGCATAGTCTCAGAAACAAGATTTATTAGGAAAACTGCCCCAAGGCCTGCCTTATTGTCTTCGGCTGGTCAAAGCCATTCCCTGCTCCCTTCCTCCCCCTTTTGCCCTTCACCATGCATTCCCCTCCCCTATTTTTGGAGATGTCCATCTTGGATGAGGACTTGGGTGTGCTCTCCAAGGAGGGTGTGTTCAGTGCATTGAGAGGAGAAGAGTCGTCATTTGGTGGGGGAGACGCTGGGAACAGCTCTCGCCATTTCTTCAAGACACATGCACGGGCATGCAAAGTGGAGGTGCAGTTGGGCAAGTGGGGGGCGGGTTTCTGGCATGCAGCCTAAAGGAGGTGTGAAATGGAGGCTGGGCTTTTTCTATGGGACAACTCAACCACTATGATGTTGGTGGACCTAGCTCTGAGAAGATGGGAAAGCCTTCCAGATTTCTTTTCTCTCCTGGTAAGTTAGCCTTCTCCCACCAGATGCCCTCCAGATGTGTTCTATCAAACTCCCATAATGCCCAGCTAGCTGCCTGGGAACCATGTGAGCTATAGCTCAATACATTTGGAAAGCTGGCTTCTATGAGTCAATCATAAGGGTAAGAATGACAAATGAAGACATTCGATAGAAAAACAGGACTTCTGCCTGTTCTCTTGTTTATAATTAACAAGACAACCAGTCAAGGAGCAGATTTAGGCAGCTAAGTAGAGATCCAAGCAAAAGGATTGGAAGGAAGGTGCTGTTTCAACTTACAAATTATTCTGGGATGGGTCTGTGGTAAAATAAAACAAAACAAAACATCCAAACTGAATGACAGTTGGGAAGACAACCTCAATCTACACCAGGAGCAAGAGTACAGACTCAGCAAAGAAGCTGCAGACAATCCTGGCTTTTCCTTGAGCATGCCTGAAAAATGCATAGACCCCAGCGCATCTGACCTCTTCATACACTACATTGTATTCAGAGTAAACCTAAGAGTTTTCTAAGTTCCCCCCCCCCAAATGTTAGGGTCCTGAAAAGAGAATGTGCCCAGAAAGTCTGCTAGTGTCACTGATCTTTCCCAAGGAAAGCACATTCAAGACCAAAGTCCACCATGATAGCAGCAGAAGTTAAAACTCATTTGGATGGGCAAGGAGGAAGGTGAGATCTAAAGGGCATCATCAGAGGGGCAGGTAGTGGGAATGAAAAGGGCAACATTGGAATTATGGTGCTGTTTATCCTAGAGGACTGCAAGGGAGAAAGCCTCCAGGGAAGCCATGGATGGACATCATAACCCAAGGATCTTCCACTAGCAATAGAAAGGATGTGTTCATGGCTGGTAGGAAATTAGGGACTAAAGCAATGGTCCCCAACCTGTGGCCCCCAGATATGTTACATTGCAAATGCCTCTCATTCCCAGCCCAAGCAGTCAGGATTGGAATCATCGTCCAACACAACTGGAGGACATCAGCTTGGGGAGGGCTAATCCAAAGCTACGTCAGAGTGCCGATAATTCTTCTATGAATGTGTCTGAGCCAGGCTCCATCTTAGTTCACTGCTGTTGAATGAATGGGAGATCCACACACACACACACAATTCCCTGGGAGAGAGTGAAGATCAACTCCCACCCCACAGGCAGCAAGCTGATGAAATGCCCCCTGAGAACACCAGGACCCGTTCTACTCTTGGCTACCTGAATTGGGTTTCCTTAAAGTGTGCACATGAAGAGCACCAAAAGGCCCCATGTCCCTGCTCACTTCCTAGGCAGAGAAGGCACCTTAACCACTGCTAAAGATTGATTTCAGGTTGCATATTCAAGATAGTTGCATATAGTGGTGCCCATCTCCCCCTGAAAATGTTTCCTTTACGTGGCAAGTTCCACTGTGTACTCATGAACTTGGCGGCCACAAAGCAATGCCTGCTACTTGGTGGAATGGGGAGGTAAAAGAGAAGTAGAAAGGTGCTTAAAGGCTGCCAAGAGCAGGGTTAGGCATTGCCAGTCATTAATTGCTTCTAAATGCAAAGACAAGAAACCACATTCAGTCGAGTTGCAACGTCCCTTGTCGAGCACTGCTGAAGAAAAGAGTAACCTAGCTTTTGCATAGCTGAAAAAAAGCATCTCCAACCTGGTTGCCCAGAAAAGTCAAAGTCCAGACTCAGTGGCTGTTTGGTAAAAGTCATTCAATGGCTGTCACCATTTGCATGGTTTTCCTTGATGGGATGGCCATCACCCAAGGCTCAAGAGTCTGAAGTGGCCATTTCATCTCGGCTGCTCTTTGCCAAAGGAGAATTTAATTCTTCTGTGGCCGGGGGAAACGCTGGAGTTAACTGAGAACCATGGTAGATGTCTACAGAAGGCTGAGAGGCCAAAGACAGATTCCTCTGCCCTTTATTTCAGACTGACATGGCTTGCCTCCCACAGAGAAAGCTGCTTACTGAGTTTTACATTCTATCGTGACCACTGTAGGAAGCCCAGAAGCACTGGTGAAGTTATGACTGTCAGCTGATGGGTGCTGTGACCACACTGCTGTTTAAGAGACATAACCACCCTACATGAGCTCTAAATGCTCTGGTGCTAGTGGCTTTGCCCCCAATTGGAAGACTTCAAGTAAAGTTGAGGTGATCGTTCTGGTGCAAAGCAGAAGAATTTGATGGAGGAAACACCAACAGGGTGAGGCTGGAGAAGATATCGGCTCAGTCGAGCATCATCCGTTAGAGTAGTCAGGCATGGTCTCCCAACCCCTCCTTTTAAAAGAAAGACTCCCTCCCAGCCTCTACTCCCCCCATATAGCTGGTGTATGGCTGTTACACGGCTAGTCTGGAGAGGCCATGTTAGTCTATGTTGGTGCTGGCCGATCGGGAGATGTTCAAGGTCTGAGCAGAGACAGAGATGTCTTCATGGTCCACAGGGCTATGATAGTCAGAGGTGATGTCTGGTTCCCCAGTGGGAATTGGTATAGCTGTCAAGCTAATGGAGTTGATGGAACCCTTCCGTAAACACTGTGAGTAAACACCTAGCAACAAGTCCAGCTTGTGCTCAATAGACTCAACCTGCAAAGAGAGAGAGAAAAATGAGAGGCCCCCAAAGCTCTAAAACATGAGTCTAATTGATAAGTCTGGAAAGAGAAAAAATCCATTCTTCAAAATCAGCAGCTGCAAAATGTGGGTGAGTCAGGAGTATCAACTGAAGGGAGTGGGGGATGTCCAAAAATTGCAATGGCGAAAGGTGGAGCTGAGATTTTCTGGATCTGGGGCAGGAAATCTTTGTTTTTGTTTATAACTGTCCAAATCCCATTCTACCATTTTCACTACAGGTTAACTGAGTGTCCTATTTCAGAAAGTATACCCCGTTTTAGCAAAAGCGTCATCTGAATTTGGCTGTAGCAGTTGTATGGAGCTCTGCAGACCTCTTAGACAAGACTTTTGAGACACCATGAAGCTGTGGGTACCAGAAACATTCCAAGTAAAAGAAAATTGCTTTTTGGAGCATCTCCTCAAACAAAACGGGTCTTCACTGCAAGGCACTGATCATACAGCCATTGAAACCCATCTTGAGGAGGAGCTGGTATTGATCCACAGCAACTTCCCTCAACGTGAGCGCCTTCCAGATAATGTGGGCTTCAACCCACAGAACTCTCAGCTGTAATCATGCTAGCTGGGATGTGGGACTAATTCAAATGGCTTGCTCCATATGCCTGATGAATCCAACTGGTTTGTAGAAGACATCTAGAAAATTTCCCAGCAATCTAACTTTAATGCCAATTGGAAGCTCCTTTTGGACTTTTTGCAGGAGACAGAAAAAAATGAAATTATGATATATGGCTTTGATGATTAGTTAAATTAATAGGTTATACAAAATATGTGTGTTAAGGTGTAGTTTTAGAGGAAGAGGTTATTATATGATTTATCTATATCTACTGTATAAGAAGTCAGATGTTATTCTTTTGCAATTTTCTTTTTCCTTTTTCTTTTCTATCACTTTTGTGTTCTTTATCTGTAACTCTCGTTCTCTGCTTTTCTCCATGATTATTAGTTCTTGTCTGCTTTTACCTTTATGCTTTTTATAACTTAATAAAGTTCTTATTAAAAAAAAACAAACAGAAAATTTCCCAGCAATCTGGATGGCAGTTCTGTTGGATCCTTGACCACTCTGGAATACAGAGGCAGCAAGAACCCTTGATACAGCTGTTCCTGAGTGGCTTTTCCTTGGTCCTGAATGGCTCCTTGGGTTTCTAAGAAGCTCTGGAAGATGAAGCTTCAGAAGAGACGCCTGGAGCAATGCTACTGGAGAACAATGCATGAATCTGGACATGAGAACAAGCCCAATTTCAAGTTTACATTGTAGCAGTAAAAGTGATGAAGCAGAAGTATTCCTTCACCCTTATAGTATCTGTGGTGTGCCAGACAGTGATCCTTTTTAAGGTAATCTGGACCTTTTTAAGGAAATATGGGTCAGAACCAGTGATGTCAGGCCACTGTGAGATGTTAGCTGAGTGCTTTCCTGATAAAACCACTTTTGTTCACTGTGAGTTAGAACGTGCTGGGCAGAGGCTGATGAGATGCCAAGGATAACATCCTAAGCTGTTATCTGGGAAGGGATTGAACCTGTTGATTCTGAGAAAGTGGATTCTTCAGCAGCCTTCCATAATTTCAAACATTGTATTCTTCTGGACCAGTTGCAAGGACTGGAAGTATGAACTACCATTTTATGGCAATTCTGCTCTTTCCTGAATAGAGTTGTGGTTGGTATGAGGGGAGCTGAGTGGTCAACCTCTAGGTCAATAGATGTGCCACAAGGTTCAACCCTCTCCTGTCCCCTCTCCTATCTAACATCTTCCTGAAGCTGCTGGGGGAGATCAACAGCTTGAGGTATGGTATCCTCACTATGACAATGATACCAGTTTTATATCTCTATCCCAGATCACCTAGGAGATGCACTGGAAGTCCTGACCCAGCATCTGGAGGCTGCAAGGGCCTGGATGGGGGGCAACAGATTGAGACTTAATCTTAGCAAAATGAAATGGCTGTTCATTCAGAAACTGTCTGAATCTGGGACAGTACCAACTTTAGTTCTTAATGGTGTCGAGTTCCCTAGAAAGAGTGGTGTACAACTTGGGGGGTGGGGGTGGTTGTAGAAACTCAACTCTTGTTGGAACTGCTGGTGGAACCATTCCCAGGAGGCCCTTTGGCTAGCTGCAGCTATGTATCAGTTGTAGCTGCTCCTGGAGCGAGAAAGAAAAGAACAGTCACTCATGCCTTCATCAACTCATGGATGATGCTCTACATGGGATTGTTCTTGAAGACCATCCAGAAACTAGAGCTGATACTCAGTGTGGGTATCCCCATGCTGACTGGCACTACTCAGTATAGCCATACAATGCCAATCTGCTTCCAGGTGCAATTCAATATACTGATTACCACCCTTAAAGTCCTTCATGGTTTGGGATTGGTTATCTGCAGGATTCTATTCTCCAAATAAAATTCTGCAAATAAAATCTGCTTGAAGGGAATGTTAGTTGAAAGTTCACAACCCACGTGAGGTATGGCTCAGAGAAAGGCATTTCTGCTGAGTTCCCAAACTGCTCAAGATCCAGGAGATCACTATGCTGTCAGTGAGCAGAACCACCTCCTCCCCAGGTCATAGGAAGTTTGCTAGAAAGAAGATCAGAAGGACTTTGCCCTAACATACGAGTATATTGGTTCTTAATGGGAAATAGTTCAGCTGCTGGAATGTTTGTAATTCTTTCCCATTTTTCACTGCATCTTGCTAAAGAGAACTCTGTAAGAACCATGCTTGGAAAAGTGTCACTTTTTTAAACATCTGCCAAAGAGTCACGATGTGCTAACATCCTGTTGGGAGGGAGTGACCTTTATTCAACACAAAAGTATGTCCTTTCCTTTCATTATCAGAAAGCAGACAACCTTTTGGCATTTGAGGGCGTGCACAGCTGCCAGAAAGACGGGAAGGATTACCTGGGTGGAATGATGGTCTCACTGGGAATAACTTCTTGGCTGTGTTCAAATAACATGCCTAACCAGCATAGCATACTAAGCTTAGTTACGTTTACTCTTGGATAGGGTTTTGTGTTCTCAGGTGGTGTGAAATCAGGTTCTGTGATTAGTTTATGGATTGATCTGTTGGGCAAACCTATAAAATGCATTAATTCAGTAACCAGGTTGAGGATATTAGATTCACACAGTCTCTTTTTTCCTAAGAAGAGGAAGTCCAGGATCAAGTCCTGGCTTGTGAACAGAGGCTTCCAGTGGAAGCCACAGTGGCATCACGTATGTCATGACGTCACCATGCACATAACATAAATTACCCAATTCATGCCATCTGTGTGAAAATGTCATCATGTGCTTGATGTCACTTGTTCCCCGCACAGATGCTGACCATGATGTAGTGCTTTAAGGTGCTGAACTAGAACTGGGGAAGTCCAAGTTCAAGTCCACCCTGAGCTATGGAAGCTCCTGGGGAATAAATCATCCACTCTCAGCCTAGCCCATTTTAAAGGGAAAAAAATGAAGGAATGCATGCTAAATATACCACCCAGTGATCCCAGACAAAAAGGGGGATGGAAATCTAATCAGCAGAGAGATGAAGGAGTGGATCCAAGGGGTGGCCTAATCACACCATGTATATTAAGCTCATCTTCCTCTACCCACTTTTCTCCAGACCCAGCCTTACCTGCTTTTCTACCTTTACCACTCGGCCCATCATACTGAGTTCATCCACCAACTCGACCTCCAGTGGTGCTTTTTCCCCTTTCTCTCGTGTTTTCTTATCAAAGGCGATAGCTCCCCGGCCCACAATCTGATCCACGCTGGAAAGAGTGAAGAGAGAGAGGTGGGGGATGTGAAATCAGATAAAACAAAACAAGGCCATCTGGGCCATTGGGTAACTAAATCAATGCAAGAACGCCGGGTCCACCTCTGAGAATTCCACCTGAAAGATTCTTTTCTGTCTAAAAATTAGAGGTTTCCTATCACTTTCTAGTTTTTGTATGTGCCTTCAGGTCAGTGTTGACTCCTGGTGACTGCCTGGCAAGTCCCTGCAATTTTCTTGGCAAGATTTCAGAAGTGGTTTGCCATGGCCTCCTTCCTAGGGATGAGAGAGAGGGACTGACCCAGGGTCACCCAGCTGGCTTCGTGCCCAAGGTGGGACTAGACCTCCCGGTCAACCAGTTTCTAGCTGGGAGCCTTAACCATTACACCAGACTGGCTCTCTTCTATTCTGTTCTAATATAAAACTGTATATCTCCAACACCTCCGCATAATTGGAATGGCAAAATAATTGCAACAGTTTCTCCCCAAACCTAAGTTTTTAATAACAGAAGGTGGGGAAGGACTGACTCGTCTTGTTTTCCTGCCCGAGTGCTGATGCAGATGTACACTGACCATTTTTTAAATTTGTCAGTGGAATTCTTCCATCCTTTCAAAGCAGCTTGTCTGCAGCTGCATCATAAGTCTGTGAAGGAGGTCCAAGTCTTCTAGGACACCAAGCCCAGCTCAACCAATGCTGGCCAAAACTGCAGTTGTTTCTAGCCCTGCTCTCCAGCTGCAGAGTCTTGCCACCACCACCACTAGTTTTGGCTTTCCAAGTTGCTGGGAAAGTAACCCTGAGCACGATGGAGCCCCAGCCTTTCTACTCACCGTGTCTGGAGACTTTTGATCCTGCCAAGCATGTCCAGGTGGCCGGCTGAGTATTGCTCAATCACATCCTTAACATCGTATGGTCTCAAGGTCTCCTTGAACTTTCTTTTGGCTACCAGGAATTTAAGAATTCTGCAAGAAAACATGTTTTCAAAAAAGCTAAAATGGCCTTTCACTGGTCTGGATAGCCTTGCGTGGCTTACTCCCATGTGGAAACTGTTCTTCAGAGCTGCTGGTGGGGAGGGACCTCTTGAACTGGAGATGCCAAAAATACAACCTGAAAGCAGGAGATTCTTTGGCTGAATCTTCCCCAACCCAGTGTCCCCAGACGACATCACCTATAATCTCGAGCCTATGGAAGAAATAGACTCTTTCTCATATTTACGGGTGGTTTTTACAGATACAGGGCCTTGGGTCAACCACTTCAAATAAAGTTCAACAAAAGCCACAGCAAGCCCAAAAATGCTAATTAAATTACTCAGTGATAACCACCCAGGCACTCTGATCTCCATTTTAAGGGTCCACAAGGCAAAAATTGCACTAGTGTTAGCATGTGGCACAGAATTGTGGGGCCTACCAAAGCCCCCAGCCCCACTTGAACAAAACCCAGCATGCTTTTTTAAAGATCTATTCTGGGGACTAATAGGAACATACCTGCAGCAGCCATCAGAGTTGAAACAGGCACCCACTCCACTTACAGCCTAAGAGTAATTAAAGTTTTTAACTACTGGTGGAGGATTCTCCCAATGGAACCTTACAGATGACCAAAAATGGGTCTTGAAGAACAGATGGGCACACTTCAACCCACCACATGGATCCATCCACTTCTCCAAGTCATCTCACAGCTTGGCTTCCCAACACAAGAACTGCTCTCAGCCAGACATCAGGCCAAGTCAATAATCAAATAAAGTCTTAGATGTTAACGCCCAAACTGATATTGAGTCACTTGCAAATACCAGGTGGTTGAAACGGCTGGCTGAGAATAAAATGTCTTTTCAAACAGAAAAATGCCTGACAATGGGCTTGACTCAATACCATAGGATAGCCCTTACCAGAGCAAAATTTGAGCAGCTGGAGTCTATGGTTGAATACGGACAATTCCACCAAGTGCCATATTCTGAGAGAACGTGTGTTTGTGGAGCACCAGAAATAGAAGACGTTGCGTGTGTCCTATTCAACTGTCGATTATGTGCCCCAGCAAGGACTCAGTACTTACAGACCCTACATGACAGAACCATATATTGGGATAGTAACAAAACATGATCCTATTTCCTTCAGGCACAAACTCATATGTAGTCATTAGAACTGTTAAGTTTATAGTTAGGGCTGTCCAACTGAGAACACATTTTATAGAACACACAGGAGCTGCATGTAAGGGTGATGAATTCACCTAACCACATACTGTTTTGTATTTTAATATTCATCTTATTTTATGTCTCTGCATTCTATTTTGTCTTATACTATTTCATCTCTTTTATCTTTACTTGATCTTACCTTACTACATTTTATTTTATCTTACCTTAGTCTATTTTATTTTATTTTACTATATCTTACCATATCTCATTTTATTGTATCCTATTATGGCTGATGCCCACTGCTTTGTTATGGTCAATTGACTAATCAGTAAAGTTATAAAGGTAGTCCTTGACTTATGACCATTCGTTTAATGACCAAAGTTACAACAGCACTTAAAAAAAGTGACTTACGACTGGTCCTCACACTTACTAACATTGCAATGTCCCTGCAGCCATGTGATCAAAATTAGGCACTTGGGAACCGGCATGTATTTATGACAGTTACAGCATCCTGGGGTCACATGATCACCATTTGTGACCTTCCCAGGGGGCTTCCAACAAGCAAAGTCAGTGGGGGAAGCCGGATTTGTTTAACGACCACATGATTTGCTTAGTGACTGTGGCAAAAAGGAACGTAAAATTGAGCACAACTCACTTAATGATTGCATCACTTAGCGATGGAAATTCCTGTCTCAATTGTGGTCGTAAGTCAAGGACTATCTGTACTACTGCTACTACCTATAATCCCCATTATCTAGCCAATATAGTCACCAATTATTGCTACCCACAGACAACAGCAATTGTAATCAAAGATGTCTGGAGGGACATCCACTTATTCTGATCATTCTCTCCCAACCAGGAGCATCTCTGAAGAGTAGCAGAAAGGTATCTCACCTACCTGATGTTTTTTTAACTGGTGATGCCAAGAATCTGAATGTGGCTCCTCCTCAATCAAAACAGGTGCCTTGCCCAACCTCCCCTAATCTTTTGCTCCCCAGTTCTGTTGGGACTACATTCCCATCATCTCCACGCTGGGAGTTTATCTGTGCTGCCTTTGGGATAATGGGAGTTGTCATCTAACACATTTGGAGGACAACAAAGTCAGGAGAAACTGCTCTAGCCTTCCATGTTTATTACTGCCCTACCTCACTGAGCAGTGACTGGAGTAGCTGAGGAGTCTGCTGAGATCCACCTCTGCCATCTACAATCCTTGAATGTCAAAGGCCAACAAATTTGAAGACCTCTCTGAAAAGCAGCTTCTCAAGTTTCTTCCTCCTTCCCATTAGTCTTTTAGATAACAACACGTGGGCTACAAAAAGTCAATTCCATCTGGCTCTTGGCCAGGGTGCAACCCCAAATGCCTTTGAGTTGAGAGGACCAGATGCCCCGAAGGCAACACTGAAAGGAAAGGGAGGTTTTTGCAGAGGCCACCTTGTAGACCCCACCTGGAGCTCTTGGCTTTGGTTCCAGCTGCAGAGCACTCACCTGACTGCTCGGATCAAGGTCTTTACAGCAGGCATGATGTCTTCAAAGGTCAAGTCGCATTGGTAGGCCTTCTCCTCGCTGCTTTCCTCTGCAGGGCCGTCAGCTGTGGATGGAAAGAGGACTTTGTGGGAGGACTGCCCTTTAGGTCCTCTTTGGATTTGGTTCCAAGCAAGGCAGGGGGTGCAAACCACATACCCTTTCAGGCTCCTCCTCCCCCCTCCTGGGCTCAGCTGCAGCCACATTCCTTCCCCACACCCTGTTCGTCTTAGTCAGTGTTGTCCAAACTTGGCGGTTTGGACAAATGAAGCGGTAAAAGGAAGGGGGTTTGCTCCTTCCACAACCCATCCTGAGATTTTAACAAGGAAGGAGTTCCTTAAAGGGTTGAACTGAGTCACAGTCCTCGGAGATGTATTTTCCCTTTGCCTTCTATGTGGCACGGCTCACTTGTATGAGCCGCCTACAGTTTTCCCTACTGTAGGCGACCTGTCAACCACCTCACAATGGACAGTGTTCTGCCTTGTGGAGTGAATGCAGTTTGAAGGAGGGGAGATGCAGGTTGGGAGACTTTGACGGGACCCATGACAAGAGGACTCAAAATCATTCAGGAAGCTCATATTCCTCCTTAGCCTATGAAACTTAAAAAAAAACCAAAAAAAACCCCTGCCTTATGGGGTCTTTGCTCTGAAAATAGTGAAGTCTCCTCTGAATTGAACTTGATTCCTGGTGACGTTACAGGCCTATCTTATCCATTTTTGGAGTTGGGAGCGGAAGCAATGCATAAATGGCTTGCCATTGCCTTCTGCACTCTGTGTGTGTGTGTGTGTGTTTCCTTCCCAATCTAGCTTACAGCCCTGGGGTCGCCCTTCCAGGTATGAACCAGGAACAATTTTGCTTAGCTTTTCATGGCCAACCGCCATCATCCACGCTCCCCCACTTGCTTAAGGCAACATGTCAGTTCTTTAGATAATCAAATAAATAAAGGCCCCGTGTCCCAATTTAACAACTGTTTTTTTTTTCCTGAAGTAAATATTTACCTTTTTGAGGAATCTTTTAATATATGAATTAGTAGAGAAAAAGAGGACAGAGAAATAAAAGAAGGCGAGGAAGAAGAAGAAGATGCATACTCCTTTGAAATTCTTGGAAGAAAGGCAGGAGATAAATCGAAGAAAATGAAAAATGATTTTGTGTTTTCTGTGTATTTAAAACTTTTAGAGACTGTTTCCCGTGAAACCTTGTAATTTTGCCCCCTTGAAGGATTAATGACCAGCACATTTTAGTGGTTAGCGTCCAGTTGGACCAGCTACGAAAGCCTGCTCCACCACAGAAACTCACTGGTTGACTTTGGGTTAGTCAGTTTCACTCACCCCAGTTTACTTCACAAGGCTGTTGTAAGGATAAATTAAAGGATGCCCCTCACTTATGCCAGTTTGAACTCCGAGGGCACTGTTTTCCAACCTCAGCCATTGTAAGATGTCTGGACTTCAACTCCCAGAATTCCCCAGCCGGTACGAGGAGAATTCTGGGAGTCAAAATCCACACATCTTAAAGTTGCCAAGGTTGGAAAACACTGTCCTGGGGCAAAGATGGGATATAAACATAAGAAACTATTAAATAAAATACTGTATACAAAATAGTCAAGCTATCACCTGCTTAGAAGTCTCCCGAACCTTGAGAAGGGGTGGAACAAAAGTCAATAACTCTTGGCAAGCCCTCCTCTCAAGATCAACGGCTGTGAAGAAAAACAAAATTAAATCTCCCCAAGCCCCAACTTGGGCGGCTTCCAAACTTTACCGTCCACGGGCGTCCGGGGCTTCAGCCTCAGTGAGGCCCGGAACCTTGTCCTGTCATTGAAGCTCCAGCTTTTCTGCACCTTGGTGGGGCTGACGGCTTCATTGACGTTCTCCGTACTGGGGGAGCGGTGGAGTGGGGGGACCAGGTGCTGCTTCACCCGGCTGCCTTGCTTCTGAGAATTGTTCACTCGGATGCGGTCCTTGAGTCCCATTTTATTGCTAAAAAGGGTTTAGAGCGGAAGTTAACGGGGAAACTTGTGGATTGGGGAGGATGCAAAGCAACAGCTGAAAGGGGCCCTGGGCTCAAATCTGCTGCGTTCCTCTGCCGACCCTTAGCATAGTTTACAATTTAACTGTGGGCTTTCATTTGATCGAAGTGGGTTCGTTGGCCCTGAAATCCTAGAGAAACCCCTAGACGGGGATGAGAATCAGGAGAAAAGTTTGGTGCCCCCAGTATGGCTTGACCACTTGGGATAAAATAGCCAAGTATCTTACAAGGTCAGCAGTTCAAACTTGAAAAAGAAATGACACTTTCGTCCACAAGAGCTTCTATCCTGCAATAATTTTTTTCTACGTAACCAGGCAATATTGTAGTGTGTGTCAACCTCATCCTCTTGGTAGGAATCTTGGGGGTTAAGTGAGGAACCTTGATTCTGTTTTCCTGGAGATATGCCCAATTATCTCCTTCCAGTTTGAGGGGCAGGGGGTTGTAAAATGCCATCTTTCTCTCCCTCTACCACTGACTTATCTTTGCAAATAGAAAACAAGCAAATAAGGAAGATCAGGTTTCCCCGGTGCAGCAGTTTTCTAAGTAGAGAGATCCCTGTTATGTTCCCCTTGAATTCCCCTGCAATTTCTGGACACTTGAAAGGCGTCCAGACATTGCAGGGGGTACAAAATGCAGCAGCTAATTTGCTAACGTTAGAGGGTGCAGAGTTTAGATCAGCATTTCTCAGCCTCAGCAACTTTAAGATGTGTGGACTTCAACTCCCAGAATTCCCCCGCCAGTATGGGAGTTGAAATCCACACATCTTAAACACGTCTGAGGTTGAGAAACGCTGATTATGATGCCTGCACAGGAAGACCTACGTTGGTTGCCAGTTAGTGCATAACAATTTCAACATTAAGAGGTTGGCATGATTTCTTCAATGGCTAACGGCAGTGTTGTCCAAACTTGGCCACTTTAAGATGAGTGGACTTCAACTCCCAGAATTCCCCAGTCAGCATGGCTGGGGAATTCTGGGAGTTGAAGTCCACTCATCTTAGTGGCCACGTTTGGACAACACTGGCTTACGGTCTATCTAAGTGACCATCTCGCCTGGCATGAACCTGTCCAGTTGCTCAGATCTGCAGAAGAGGCCCAGCTGAAGAGGCCCCTCCTGCCTGAGACCCACCCTTTGGGCATGCAGAAGAGCTTCTCTTCCTGCATTGTCCAGGCTGTCGAAAGCCATCCTGAACTGGCCATGAGTTGCACTTGATCCTCAGCCTCTGGAAGACCGAGCTCTCTTGACAGACTTTAACTGTTCATCGATTTTAATATTAAAAGACAAAGCAAATGGTTGTCTCTTTGTTCATTGTCTTTTATTAGCCTTCTTGAGAACTTGCCTGAGTAGAAAGGCTGGGTATAAATTGAAAAAAAAACTTACAAGAAAAAAAGAATGTACCATCTTAGTGAACTAGGATGCAGATGGACATTTCTTGGACCAGCCAAGGAGAGAAGAAGATGGATCTCCTTCTAGGGTTCCATTTTCAGTAAATGAAAAAATAATACACTTAATTTGCTCCAAGTTTGGGTGTGACTGGACCCCAAAGACAAGGGACAAACATTTCAGCTCCATCATGTCTAGGACGGACCTCAGCTTGCTGATTTGGAAGCTTGACAGAGAGAACCTACATAGAATTTTACATCTGGATTTCTGCTCACAACACTAAATCTTAGAAATGAGTTGTTTGTGAAGACCAACAGCTGGTCAAACACATTCTAGGTCAACTAAGTTCATTTAACGATATTTAGCTGGTACCTCGTAAGAGAGAAGTAGAAGACCCCAACCTTGGTTCTCCAATATTTTATGGATTAATATTTCAGGGATAAATATTCTGGATTAGTTTTTAATTGAATAATTAAAAATTTAATTTAATTTTTAATCATGCATAAATAGGGAGAGATGGCATTTTTGCAGTTCCCTTGTTTGGCAATTAACGGTGACATTTTATTTTCACAATTGTTAAGGAAACGAATTTGATTTTGTCAGTTCCCGTTCATTAAAGACGAAGATTTGTGCTGCTGCGCCGAAAAGGCTAACTCGCAGGAGCATCTACCTTTCCCTTACATCAGTGAAATCCAGCCCTAGCTATTCAGAAACGAGGATCAATGTTTACCTGGAAAAAGAATTGGGAATAATTTTCTCTTCTGAATTAAATAAAGATGACTCCCTAAAACAAAACTAAACGGGTCTTAAATTAGGACAGCCTAAAATCCCCATGGGGAAAAAAGACACAACAGCAACAGACTTCAGAGATCACCTTTCCCTTTTTAAAACCAAGGATTCTAGTCCTTATTGTTGTTGTATTTGCATAGGCAGGGCCAATGTTTCAATACCCTGAGTGGCTTCTAACTCCTCCTCCTTCATCTCTTCATGGGAGATGAAGAATAAATTATGCAGAGGGAGGGAGAGAGTCTCAATGCAAATCCTCATCAAGGTCTTTGCAGAACCAGCTCATTAGAACGTATTACTTGGCTGCAGCCTGTTCGTTGTCCCTTTGCGGCATCTACAGGTTGGACCACAAGTCAAGCAGCTGATTTCAGGGACAGAAAGGACAGAGGAAAGGACCCCGTTCAGAGTCTGGAGCACTTTCCAAAATACTTACAATAAAGATTGAAAGCAAACAAGCAAATAAACCAAACGGGAAACATTGGAAGGATCAAAAGGTAAAGAAACTGAAAGACACAGCCAGACCAGGGGTGCCTGCAGAGGAGATGTTTGGAAGCTCAGCAACTTCAACAGAAGATGAGCCGGCTAAGACGAGAGTTTCGCTTAGGATAATGCTTTGGCTAAAGAACCAAGAACATCTTCCTTGATAGCAAGGGAAGGTCTACAGCCGAAGCAAATGTGGCTGGGCAAGGAAGAAGCCATTTCCCCCAGATAATCGTCCCCCTTTCTTTCCAATGAGATACTTGGCCAAATTGTGGGGAATTTGCCTACTTGTGCAAACCATCCAGACGGACTCAAATGGGGGTGGGTCTGGAGGGGCAAGGAGTCAAAAAAGTCAACTTCAATCGCAGCTGCACCCATGCGATTGAAGCCCCGTGCCTTTTTTACGTGCATGCCGCTTGCAACTGCACGGTAAGCAAGCATTTTGGTTCACACAACTGCAGGAGGGTCAGGGGGTCAAAAAAGTCAAGATGGCAGCTGCATCCGTGCAAACAAAGCCCTGCCCCCTTTTGAAATGTGTTGCCCATGCGACGAGTGTAAAAAAAGGGTGGGGCTTCAATCACATGGTTGCAGACATCCCCTTGCCTCTGCAGAACAGAGGAATCTAATCAAAGTGAACCCTGATCAAGGTTAACATGTTCTGTATTTCAGTTGCTAGTGTTTAGCCAACTCAGCTGAGGTGTTTGGCACGCGCCCTCTCCAAGAATCATCAAAACTTCTGCTCTAGCAGAACGTTCAGCTTTATGAATTAGTTTAACTAACCAAGCCACCTGGGTTCACACCACACACTAAGTCACAGGAAAACTAACCAAGTTAAATCTAACCAATCATAGCATGTTTTGTGGCCACAGCCAGAATAATGACATGTGACACGGGGCACCTCTATGACGTGCCATCTCCCTCTGGGTGAGAGCTCCGGAACTGAAATGCAAAACAGATGAAAAGACCGAACGGCTTTTCCCTTTCAAAAATGTTCGGCCTCTCAGTCCTGCTCGAGAGGAGCCCCAGCACTGACCCAGCAAGGAATTCCACAAGTCCAAGTAGCATTCGGCATTACAGCCAAACACGCATCAGTGGAATGGCCAAGAACTCCTTCTCCTTCTTCTTCTTCTTCTTCCCACCCAAGCAGCAAAAAAATACGTTTGTGACCTCCCCTCCTTTTAATTTCTTTGCCGAGCATTTCCCACACGCCTAAACAAAATATAAGTGACAGCCCCTCGCATGCAGCCATCAGCTTTATCCCACTCAACTTCAAGCATGCAGCGCTTTGGGCCCGTGTCTTGGTCAGGGGTGTCCGCCAGGAATGGTCAGAAAGTCAAGAAGGTGGCTAAGATGGTGAAATCAAAGCTCTGGATGGAACCTGGATAGCATCGCTAGACAATACTCATAAAAACGTGCAGAGCTCCCATGTCACTGTCATAGCCACCAGCCTGTGGACACTTGTCTTTCCGTTCTTCTTGAGTTGGACAGTTCTGCTTCCAACTGGCAAGTGGGAGGCTACCAAAAACACAGAGAAGTTGGTACCATGTCCCTCTTTCTGCCTGCTTTTTGCTCACTATCCTTCCTCTGGGCAGAGAGGAAAATCATACCTTTAGAAATCTGATCGGTCACCAAATGGGAGGAGTCAAAAATCTTCAAAGGTGAATGGGGAGGAGAGGATGACACAGTAGAACAGTTCTTTATGTGTGTCAGGAGTGGGGAAATCCCAGGATCTGAGAAGGGAGGACAGGATTTTCCATTCATGGAAAACTGGCCCCTACAGCTCCAGGAAACTGGCAAAATGGCCTTTCAGAGGAGGGGAAGCTGCATGATCTCAGAACAGCTCAGCCCTGATGTAGGATTGTCTATGATCCGAAGGGGATGAGGCAGTCCTTACTGGACTGAAGAGGTATCCAGAGAAACAGGACAGGTTGCCCTACTCATGCCTAGCATAAAAAAACACCACATTGTGGACCTCAAGACTGTCTGTAGCCTGGGGCATGGAGAAATGCCTCCAGATTCCCAGGATCTGCAAGTTCCAGGAAATTAATCCCTCTTTTCAGCAATCTGGAAGGGGTCTGAGACAGGTGGTATGAAAGCAAGATAAAATCTGCATATGGAGATGCCAACTGCCAAACTTGGTTAAGAGAGCCAGTCTGATGTAGTGGTTAAGGCATCAGGCTAAAAACTGGGTGAGTTCTAGTCTCACCTTAGACACAAAGCCAGCTGGGTGACTTTGGGCCAGCCCCTCTCTCTCAGCCCTAGGAAGGAGGCAATGGCAAATCGCTTCCAAAATCTTGCCAAGAA